TCTGCATGGAAAAGAAATACAAAAAGACATGTCAATTAAAAAAAATATATATATATATATTTTTTTTTTTTAGCAGGCTGGGGAGATGGCTTAATGTATGAAAGTGCTTGTCATTCTAGTCTGAGTTTGGATCCTCAGATATGGTAGTGCCCATCTGTAATCTCAGCCCTTCTCTAAGAGATGGGTGAAGGGGACTTGAGGATCACCCAGATGCTTGCATGGCATCTACCTTTGAATAATGGGCAGTTCAGGGGCACAAACAGAAAGGAGATCCTGCCTCAAATAAAGAGGAAGGCAAGAACTGGCTCCCAGAATCTGTTCTCTGACCTCCCACATGTTCCATGGCAAGTGCGTGTGCGTATGTGCACTCTCACACACACGCAAAGTTTTTTGGTAGTACTTTGTTACATACACCTCGATTCACCAAATAACAGCAAACTCTTTCTGATCTATTTAAGTTGTGGTCTTATTCTTTCCTTTCTATTAAAGATGCTGGAAGTGTTCTTAAAGTTGTCTCAATTCCTAAGGAGACTTGGCATGATTTAGAGGAAGTTCTTCTGGAAGAAATGACAGTCTTTCGGGTGAGTTCTGCCTAATTTCAAGTATCCACAGGTTAAGTTGCACATCTGTCCCACAGGACAATTGCATGCTGAACTTGCTAAGGACAAGCACTCTAGCATACCTTTCCAATTAGCTTGTCAATTAGAAAGCCAGACACTAGTCAAAATAAACCTTGAAACGTTCAATGCTGGTTAATTCTAAGGTTGTATAGAAATAGATTCTTGGCTCATATTTTGTTATTTCAATGATAAAATATATGATTTACATTTTGCATTATTTATATAGGTGACCTTGAAGAACAAATGCCTCCTCTTTTAAAAATCTTTTCTTTCATACTTTATGGTGTAATTGGTGTGATATGTAAGATCTATGAGTGCATTCCGGGAAATACATTCAGCACGGTGAAGGAATCAAGATGTCTCAGCTTATTTATATTTTATTTAACCATATTTTCTCAAGGAAATCTATTGATAGAAGTAAGTCTGGAGATTTTTATGTTACTATGAGATAACTTAGGTATCTATTTGCATATTTAAGAAATGTATAAATTTTTAATGACCTGGATAGGCTCTTTATAGGATTTGGTGTGTTGGAGTTGAACCAAAAGAACTGAAGGACAGTAACATAGATACTGTGTGTGTTATTCAGTCTAGAAAGCTAGCTTAGAGAAGGTATTTGAACAGGGATCACACTCTTCTTATATGAGTTATGCGTAAGAGAAGGAATCAGGCCCTATCATTTTTTAAAATGTTCTGTAAAATAATAGAGTAGCTACAAATTGAGACTTTATAAATACAAAATAAAATTTAATAGAGAGAAATGAGTAAAGACAAATGAGAAACCATTGCATTTAGTTTCCCAACTCAAAGTGATTTCATTTATTCTCTATCTGTCTCTGATAGGTTTTCTATAAAATGTTTTTTCAGCTCATTCACCATTTAATGGTGAGCGAAGCTTCTCTGAGGCTTCTTTTAGTTCTGTGTTTGTATTTGCATACTGCTGTACTTACCTGATAGGCTCAGGTTAATTCTTAGCTTTCCTTTGAAGATAGAAAGAAATAGCAAGGGCAGTTTCCCAATATTCACTTAGCTAAAATTATGATTATCATGGGAACATAAACCTGGTAATTTGTGGCATAGACCTGTTGTAGTAACAACCTAACTATCTTCTAGGTGGAAAAATTAGTCTCCTCAGTACTATCTACATGACAATTCTTGCTTCCTTCAAGGAATCCCACTGAGCTGCTCATTAACAAAAGAGTAAAAACAATACTTACTTCACCCAATGGCTAGAATTAGAGGTTCTTGCATAATTACAAAGGACAGTGAAAGCACTTAGTCCACAAGCTGTGGGGTTTTGTGGTGTTGCTGTCATACTTGTTTTTGTTTTCTTGGGTTTTGTTGTTGTCCTCTTGTTTGGGGACAGGCTAGAGCTGAGGATGATTTTGTACTTCTGATCTTCCTGTCTCCACTTCCTGAATATGGGAATTATAGGATGGGTCACCATGTCTAGCTGAAATGCTATCGTTAATGTTCATTATTTTATTGTTGTTAGTTAGCTAACCTGAAAATGAGCTGTATTTCCAACAAACCTTCTGATAATCCTTGATTTGAATCTTCAAAATAATGAAGCCATAATTCTAATTTAAAAAATCAACTACTTGGGCCTTTTTTAAAGTTGGAAGTAGAGGGTGAAGTAGACTAATCCTTATCATTCACCATGACTTCTGAACTACCTCCAAAGACAAACACATTGGAACTTTAACCTGTAAAATTTAAAACTACAATTATCCAAATGGGCTGTCATCCACTATAGAGCTCATTTAGATTTAATAAGTAAATTACGAGTATGGAAGGGTAAATTTATAAATGGTTGCCTGTGATCATTGTATATCTCTAAAGCCAAAGCATATTTTCAATCAACATTTATTTAATATATGAATGAAGGAGTACTGATGCAAAATGAAATATAAAGGTTTTTAAGGATAGCAGGTTGAAATGAGGTTAGGGAATATGAGGACAATGAATCAGAAACAGCAGCAGGTGATACTGGTGGTCTAGTCTTATATTATTCTCTAAAAAGAAAAAAAGAATAAAACTTTATTTTTGAAGATATATTAACCTCACTATTCCAAATAAAGTTAAGAGGAGACACTCCAGCATGTTACTGTGGGAAATAATTATTAACAGATGCGCGTGTGTTAGTCACGATTCTTTTGCTTGTTTTTCTGTACTCCTCATACATTCAAGTTTATGTAACAATCTAGCATGTCCTTGGTGGAATACTAATTTCTGGTGACAGTCAAAAACCCTATAAACAGTCCCTGACTTCATGCAGCTAAGAGGATCTTCTGTGTTATGTATTTTAGTTTTAAGGACTGACTTTTTATAATCACTTCGTAGAATTAAATTTTATTGTGTAGAAATATTTCAAGTCATCACATTTATAAATAATATTATTCTCTTATTTAAATGTTTTCCAGGATTTAATTAGTCTAATCATGCTTACTTTCTTTTTAATATATCTGGAATCTGAAGTTAACATTTCATATCTTACCTATATTCTTTGAGTATTAATTAAAACTTCCATTGAAGCTGAACTACTCAAATAGCTTGTAACAAAGCCCTTATTGGACAACATATTTACAAGTACAACTATTTAATATCTATTCTATTTTTTTTAGAATTTCGTAGTTTCCAAAGAAATATAAATTCAGTTTGTACCTGTGAAAATGTTGGAGCATATTTGTGTATAATTTAAGATATTCTAAGAAAAAATTGTGGGGTTGGAGAGATGACTAAGTGTTTAAGAGCACTGGCTGTTTTTACAGGAGCCCCGGAGTTAAATCTTAGCACCCACATGGCGACTAACAACCATCTATAACTCCTTTTTAGGGTATCTGACACCCTCTTCTGTCCTCCCTGGGAATTGCACAACAAGGGTGCACTTATATACATGCAGGCATAATGCTCATTCAAATAAAATATAAACAAATAAAATTCTTTAACAAAAAGAGTTGTTTTCAGTCTCTAAGAAGTATTAGTTATTAACACTGTGTTGGTAAGGAAATACTGGTTCAAAGTCTAGAACTGTGTTACAAGGTTGCTTATCATCAGAAACGCGTATCCTCCGATAGAAGCTGTTCGCGTTTTCTTTCATGTTCTTTGTTGTACATGTTGTCACTATTATTTCTTTGGCACTCAAGTAGACAAAACGTACTTGGGCAGAGTTTAGAGAAATATTTACTTTTGGCATTCTATTCTATCAGCCAAATTCATACATATATTGTGGTCTAGCAATTGGAATATTTCACTGTCAAACTTTGTTTAATTTTGTGGAGGGCAAGAAAAAAAAATTACAACGATAGCCACATAGGGTGAAAAAAAAAAACAAAACCCACAGAAATATCCATTTCTGTATTTGTTGCACGTCATCCCATTTAAAATAAAATGTCATTTAAAAAGGTCAACTGAAATTTACTGTAGCTTGATAAGTTAAATACACAGGTAAAGACTTAAGGTCATCATCTTATCTGACACTCTTGGATTTTTTTTTAATGCATTTAATATTAACCAATCAGTTAATTTCTCCATTTATCATCTCCATGAGACCATGCTGTCATGTATCCATTCTAGACTGACTTATTCATAAATTCTTGGATTAAAACCAGTACATGCTCCTTGACATCTTGAGGTTGGTTTTAGGAAAACACCCCAGCTAATCACAGAACATTCCAGTGGTTTCAGTTATAACAAGACACTTTTATTCTTAGAGAAATCAAATACCAATCATCATATAGAAAGAAAAATATTCCTTGGCAATAAAATTTCCATTTTAAAGTACAAATTTTAATAGGTAATAAGAGGTGAACTGCAATTGGCAATGGCATAGGACTAAAAAAATAACAGACCTCCCACTAAATATTCAAAATGGCATTAAAGCTCTGAAATGCAGTCTGATTCTAAATGTTGAAGTGTAACTCTGAATTTGAACATGTTTACCATGTGATTCTGAAGAAAGTCAGTAGACCCTCAATTTCGTCTCATAATGAAAATTGCAATCATGAGCACTTGTTTTAAAGCATTTCTTTGATAATAAAATTAATCGTACTGGTAAATGGTAGTTTTAGAAAATAGCTATACAAGTGAAAATCTGGTTTAGAATGCTTGAATTCCTTATCTTTATCTCTAAAAACATTAAAAAGATATAAAAGACACATGGTGACTTTTCACCTTAACTAGTCAGTGTGGGGCTTTCTTTTTAGTCCTTCCAGCAGGCTTTCCTTTTGAGTTAGTGGTGTCACATCCAGTTGCAATGCTTTGGGGACAATGAACTTTATTTATAGTTCTATTGACTGCAAAGAATTGTGAGGCAGTTACATCAATAACACTTGCATTTTAAACCCAATTTATGCAATATTCCATGAACAGCTGAGCAAACAAACGAAAGTTTAATTTTCATTCAAATGCAAAACATAATTGATGCTTTGCAAACCCTAGTCTATTAACTACTTCTAAGGGAGCTTCAGAGTACTTAGCATCCACTGAGCTGTATCAGAAACTCCTAGGATCAGCAGGTTGAAAAGCTTTGGAAGTGCAAAGTTTAATAAGCACTGAATTAAAATATCTGGCAAGAGTATGGTAATTGGAGTCATAGAAAAATCTTGAAAAGATATTAAGATTTTTATTTCTATTTTTTTGCTTGAACACTGATTAAATTTGCAATTGAAACCAGTTTTGTAATAATAAT